ATCAATGAATCAAAAGAATCCTGAGCTCCAGGAGCTTCTCATCACTATCCCCCAATGTCACCCCTAAATTCGTCATTCTGTTTTTGAGAGCTTCTTTGGAGGTTCTAGCAGGGAAGCACAGCTGCCCGATACTTTTGACTGAAGAACAGTTGGTCTCTATTCAGGGAAGGCGATCCTCTTCCACAGAGCATGCAGCTTCGAGAGGGAAGCTAGCCAGCCAGCCAGATCAGCCGAGTCAACCCTGGCAATCAATGGGGGGGCAGATGCCGCAGCCAGATCTCCCTCACATCCCATCATTCTGTTTTTGAACTCTATACAGTCATACAAAATTATGTTTGAGTGATTCAGCCACTTTTTGCATGTAAACGGTGGTTCCTTCATCTTCATGGCCGATTACTACTCCATTCCATGAACATACACTATACATTCCCCTGGGGTGGACAGAATTGCTTCCAGTTTAGTGCTGTTTTAAATAATGCTTCCTGAGCATTCACACACACACATGCCCAGGAGTAAAACTGCAGGCCGTAGGTTTAGCTTTAGGAGATGCCCCCAGATTTGCAAAGGGATGGTGACAGTTTTCTCACCTGGCGGCAGCATTGTGAGAGTTCCAGCTGCTTCACCCCCTCGCCAACTCTTGCTCTTGTCTCATTTTCATCTTAGTCATTTGGGATTGGCATATAACAGAGATACATTATGGTATTCTTTTGTCCTTCCCTGATGATTCCTGTAGTTGTGCATTTTTCCACATATTTTTTGGCCACTTGAATATTGACTGTCGTAAATAATGACTCCCTTTAAAATTTATCTTCAGTTGGAAAATATTTCTGAGAATGCTTCCCATGCAGGAAAATTCTGCTTTCCTTCCCACCTGGGCCATCATTTCTACATTGTGACATCTGGCATTTCTGAGGAGGGCTCCAAAGGGGAGGAGGGTTAGAAAGTGGAGTGGGTGCTATGACCCCAGACGTCACCAGGCATTCTCCCAGCTTTGGAAATTCCCCTGCTGAGGTAGAAGCTCCAGGGGTTTCTCTGTGCACTTTGGGATTGACGTGAGATCGTCAGAGATTAGGAGCGATGGTTTATATAGCACATTGAGAGCTGAACTCTAGCACCCCTTACTCTTTTCCTTTGGAGTTTGGGCTCTCCATGGATTTCAGTGACTGCTGAGAAATGAAGATAAATGGAGTTCTTTCCTTCTCTTCTTCAACTCATAATTAGGCTGGGAACACACAGGGAGGTGGATTTGCTAACAAGGCTAAGCCTTTTGTGCATTGAGGACCTAGTGTATGCCTAGGGTATTAAAGTGATTAAGAAAGCGCTTAAGCTCTGCAACAATTATCAGACTTCAACAGATCAAAGTTTTCCTGGTGCAAAACGGAAGCCCATCTCCCCTCACTCAGAGGAGAAACTGCTGACCTCCTGGCCATAACCTATGCTGCTCACTGTCTTCTCACTTTATCTCACAAGGGGTATCCAACCAAAACTGGAGGGGAAGGAGATAGCTAGGAGTGGTGTTCCCTTGAACACCTCCTGTGTGCCACGAGGTAATTGGTAAGCACTTACATTCCCATTTACCCTTACCTCAAGCTTCTTGTCAAGTAAGACCTGTCCTATTTTCAGGGGATATACAGGAGAGTCAGGAGCTCGGAAAGAAATGTTGCCAGGTCAGAGCAATGTGTTTCAGTAACAAAACAGCTATGGAAGAGCTAACCAGAAGCCATTCTCTTAACAGGCTGAGACAGGCCCAGGTTGAGAGTCCTAAGGCAGGTGAGTCCAGGTCATGTCTTTAGGAACTTCAGTCTCCTGAAGGGAACTGAAAATGCTTGCTGGGTTTGTTAGAGGAAGAGGGCACTTCTGGTCCAGGAGGCCCAGTTTATGCCACCAACACTCCAAGCGCAGGACCAGCATTGCCTGAGTCCCCAGTGCAGATGGGATGGCCACGGTGCTGTGCCATGGGGGTAGAGGGATACAGAATTCCCTGCAAGCCTTTCTGTAGATCTAGGCATTGTTGTTCCACTTCTCAGATGAAGAAACCAGGTTCTCATGATAATATTCACAAATATGTAAATTTAGAGTGGTGGAACTGGGTCCCAAGTCCTGAAGAACGTTCTAGTCATCTTTGCTGGAGAATGGGGATGTGAGAATGGACATGTGCCTAGCAGGGGTCCACATTGGAATGGGTGTGTGAGGGCAGAAAAAGCCACTTTTGGTAGCAGCCCATATTGGTAGGTACAGTCTTCATGGTGGTAGAAGTGGGCAACAGTGAGCTGGCATGTGGTCGGAGCCAAAGAGTAAAGCCTCTGGACTGGGGCTTCACAGCGCCTACCCAGGAGCCTAGGATGCTTAGCTTTACCTTAAAGCAACCTTCTAACAATGTGTGGTGTTTAAGGGAGGCAGCCTACAGCTTCAAATACAGGCTGATGGATTGTGTGATTCTGTACAAGCCCCTTCACCTCTCTGAGTCTCAACTTTCTTTCCTTTAAAGTATGCACAGTCACATTTAAATGAGATAAATCTAGCATAGCAAAATGGACAATTGGATGGTCAAAACATGTGGTTAAATTTTAAGACAGCTGTCAATTTCCAGGTATCTTTGCTACTTATCACCTGTGTATTTTTAGGCAAGTGATATACCCTCTCTGTGTTTTAGTTTTGTTCTGTAAAGTGAGGATAATAATGATAATTCCTATCCCAAGACGTTGTTATATATGAGTGTGATACATACTCTCACATGAGCTGATACAAATAAAGACTGCATAGCATAGCATCTGGCCATTTATTAAGTCTTCAATAAATAGTTACTATAGGCCCTCCCTGGTGGCGCAGCGGGTTAAAGCACAGCACTGAGAATCTAAAGCCACTTCCGCATGAGTTCGATTCCCGCCTGCCCCGGAGGTGACCACATGGCGTGGCAGACCTCTCCTGACCCGCCCGCTGCTCCCCTCAGTAGTGTACTTTGTCGATCTGTCTGTTCTGTTCCCCACTGTCTCTCATGAAGCCTCTCGCCGCCCCTGAGCCTCTGGCCTGTACCCCAGTTCTGTATGCACAAATAAATAAATAAAATGCTTACTATAATTATGCCATCCCTCATGTTGGCTGGTAAGTAGTAGTTGCTCACTAAATGGCTATTAGTTTTCTTTATCCCCAAGGTCCAGGGGCACAGGCAGCAGCACTGGCATTATAGGAATCAAAAGGTCATGGAAATTTGCAGCAGGGAGGTTGGCTTTCAGCAGGCCATTGAAAACGAAAGGATTCAATCCAGGTAGTCTGCCAAGACACAGTGGGGTACAGGGTAGTGCAAGGCTGGATCAGAAGCAGGTGGGGGAACAAGAGATCCGGGTGCAGCTGTACTGCCTGAGAGAAATGAGGAGGTCTGGAGGGCGATGTCGAGAGTTGGCTTGGGTGTGACTGGGGCAGATGGTCTGCCTTCTGGGCCTGGAATAGAGAACATATCAGGCCTCTCTGGCCAACTGTGTGTGTGCATATGAAGATCAAAAAAAAGATTAGGAAGTGAAAGTGTTTAAAGCTACAAACACTTCATGCACCACATGATCTAATCCAAGTGAAGGGGAGTTGGATACACTGCGCATGGCTTCCACCACATCAGCCAAATCCTGATGGCTCTCCTTATTAACACTGCAGCTCTAATCAATAAAAATTCCTACAAAAGACTCTCTAGGCCATCTTCCTGCCCCTGATGATAGTATTCCTATCATAGCTCCTGTGTTAGTATTTATCACTTAACAGGTTTTTATCAAATGTTTTTAAAATATCACTTGTTCAGTTACCCAAAACGTGTTAAGATACAGCTTTATGTCTAGACTTATGGGAACTGAAGCTGTACAAGTTTTATGAGGCAATATGTGACTACCTTTTCATTCCCAGCCCGGCTAATTATCATCATCTCTCTCTACCCAGATGTCCCAGCCCATCTTATTTTATGCCTCTGTGCCTGTGCTTTTCCCCTCTGCCAATAGCACCTTTCCTAACCTCATATCATGTAAAACTCCTATTCACCCTTCAAAACCCAATTCAGATATTCCATCTGGAGCTTTCAAACAGCTTTTCCATATAGGAATTATTTCAACCAGTCACTTGTTTAAATTCCCAGATCATGAGTCTGCCTTCAATTCCAGGCCTGTGTGTGGCCTTGGCTTAGTGATCTCTGTATCCGCAGTTCAGAAGGCCTGAAAAGAGAGCAAGAGATTTTTGTAAGTATGTCTGCAATAAAGTTTGGTCCTATGTCCAGAGGTTCCATAGCTTATGGATTTTAATATATGAGTATTTTAAAACTATTAAAAGAATTTTTCAAAACTGAGTATTAGAAGAATTGTGTCGCTCTGCTGATGGTCAAAGGAGGCTACAAGGTGGCTCAAAAGCATTTCAAACAGCCTGGCACAGTCCAACCTGTTTCTAAGAGGACGCCTCGAGTCTCTCAAAAACAGCTTCCGTTCTTACCAAAACTTGCATCACACAGGTGAATTGGTGGTGGGAAGCCTATGGAAATTACAACTGAGATGAGAGGAAAAGATGCACAAAATGAAGAAGGATGTAAAACAATAAAAATATATAATAGTTTTTTTTAATAAATAAATGGTTTTTACATCGTGACATACTAAAATACATAAGAATCCAAACTTTCATGGAACAATACTGACTGTTGCTATGGGCATTGCTCCATTTTCTCTCTCTTTTCTTTCCTTCTTTCTCCTTCCCTCCCTCCTTTCTTCTTCCATTCCTTCCTTTCTTATTATTGTCACAACCCACGAATTGCTTCCGTGATTCTTCATTTCAGTCGGTTGCAGCCCATGGTTTGAAAGACCCTAGCTAATTCTTCAGCTTATATAATAGAAATGGCTTCCCAGGGGAGAAGCCCAACGCCCTGAGGTCAGCTCAGAGAAACAGGTGGGCAGGTGGTGGAAGGGAGTGCGCGGGGGTGAATGAGAAGCCGTGAGGACGGACCCGCAACATTCTAACCAGCTTCCCTGTCTTTGCAGCCGAGCCGCTACCGCTTATGGACCTGTGCCGGAGATCCATCCGCTTGGCCCTGGGCCGCCAGCGCTTACGGAACATCGGCGCCCTGCCCCTGCCTCAGTCTCTCAAAAACTATCTGCAGTACCAGTGAGCCAGAGGGGAGAGCCAGCTGGGGTGCTGGGGTGGGCAGGCTTCCCACTGAACATCCACACAGTCCATCAGGGCGGGGTCCTCGTCCTCACCGCGGTTCCCAGGACTTTCAGCGGTTCGAAAGGCCAGGCCCTCTTCCCGACTTTGAACACGAGACGTCTGTTGCCAACAGTATTTTCTGCTTTGGAAGCAGCCCTCGCGAGTCAGACACCTCCTTGGAAGTCACGAAGAGACTGGAGCCGGCGGGCACCCCGCCCGCCGACCGGGGCCCAGCGGACACCAGTATTGATCCGAGAGCCTGTTTCCTTATTGAAGAGAATGAATAAAACATTTGGGCAGGAGACTCTATTTTGTGGCCTGGTGCAGACAGAGCCAGGGAAAAATTGGCCAGCTCAGAGAGAAAATTGCTTCTGAATAATGAATGATGAAAGCGGCCGATGCCAGGGCCCCGTTGGGCCCCCACTAGACAGACAGTGAGACTGACGTGACAATTTAGGACTCTGCCCCTCTGAAAGACCGTGGTCGCCCAGGGATGCCCCGCTGCAGCACTCGCGAGTGGACAGAGCTAGGCGCCTTCCGGCTTACCTCTTCGATGTTGTTTACTGACCCTCCCTCGGCCCCTCCCCAAACTGGCCCTGTCACAGTTCTCTGGAGACCTCAGGCCCCTGTCTTCAGGGAGGCTGGGTCTGTCTGCTTCACCCCAGAGACAGAGCGGTATCCTCTATAATTGTTACTATTGTTAGTTGAATTCGCATTGCATTTTTAAAAAGAGGAGTGTGTTAAGGGCAGTACTTAATCCAAAGGTGCTAATCTGGGAGCTGGGGGAACTGGGGTGCCAGCGGGAGCTGTCCCTGGCAGGGAGCCTTCTGGGGTCTGTGGGTCTCTAGGCAGCCGTCCTTCCAGGATGCAGCCTGGCCCCCACAGAGCTTTATTTGACAAATTATTTTTTCACTTTAGAACACTTGTTTGAGTTTGTTTCTGTTTCCAATGTGTGTATGATGTGCTGTTTATTTATCAGCTGGGGGCCGTGAGTGGGCAGCTTGTGAGTGGAAGGTAGACCTGTTGCCCCTACCGCCCTGAGCCCAGGGCCTCTCATGGGACCGTGTCACTGCTGCCACCACCACCGTTTGGCACCTGTCATGTGTTTCCAAAGCTCTCTGTCCAGACTCATTTTATTTTTTACTCAAAATGGTCACAGCAGTGGATACCAGAGCCCCAGATGGCACTGCTTCCCCCCACTTTAATGTGAATTTGACTGGTGAATGAGAAGCGTTTCTAATAAAGTTTGTCGTTCAGTCCTTCAGCCCTGTATTAAGTGCTCTCTGGGGAGGGAGAGGGAGGGCTTCCTGCATCAACCTGGCTGGTCCGTGCCCCAGACCCTCAGGAGACAGGAATGTGAAGCCCTCTCTGGACACGTCTCTCTGCCTTGCCCCCCCTTGAGCTGGGACCCAAGCCACTTTACAAAGGCCTGCCCCAGCACATACCTGGGGCCTGGGCCCTGCAGAGCTGACGGTGACAGTGGGAAGGCAGGCCCAAGGCCTTCTGTTAGGGGGGGCACAGGCACAAGAGGGTAAACCCTAGAAGACAATGACCGGAAGGTGGGGCTGGGTGCGGCTTTGTGAGTGTGAGACTTAGCTGAGCTGAAGGCTAGAGTAGGGCAGGGGCCAGTTGAGGCTGGGGCCTGGGTCAGGCCTGGCACAGCCTTCATTGGGCAATGAGTGGCACATGCACCGTGCCAACTTCTGAGGACCCAGCTGTCAGACAAATGCCTCCATCCCTGGGGACTGTGTTTACACTGCAGCATGATGAGGTGACAGGCTCATGAAGGGGGCAGGGGGCGACAGGACAGGCAAGGCTTCCTGGAGGCAGCTGCACTCTGTACACGTGGTTTTTTAGAGAAGACCGTGGTGAGCTCAGAACAAAAGAGCCAAGCGTGCCGTGCCTGCTCTCAGCGGCAGTGTTGATCCTCTACTCTGACCTGGAGCAGGGCTTCCAGGGCTGGAGACTGGAACTCAGCCTCAGGCAGGCTTCCAGCAAGTGGGTCGCAGAAGGCAACTTCCTACAGAGGCACATCCTTCGACTTCGGGGTCAGCTTCATTCCTCCTTGCACACTGTAAGGGCTGGACCAGGTGGCCATTTGCTGAGGGCTCTTCCTTTCCCAAACTGAGCCCCAATTTTAGCGCCAGCTTTATGCATCTGCCTCATCTGTTTCCACACCTTGCCTATGTGAGGTCTTTCACTCAGAATGCCATCCCATCATCACTGCACCTTCTCTAGGATCTGGTTTAGATCATCCCTCCTCCAGGAAGCCCTCCCTAACTACCCACCAATCTTGGCACTTTCTGAGAGTCAGCTTCTTACCTTCCAACTTGAGGATGCCTCTCCTGGCCTCCAGGTCCCTTAACCAAGTACTTGGACTGGAGTCAAGTACATTAGAGGAAATAGGGGAAAGGAATGTCCTGTGTCCCATCCTTCTCAAAGTAAGAGCATCTGAGCATCAAGGAGCTGAGATAAACTGAGTTCAGGAGCCACCACACTGTCACTCAGCCCCAATTCTAGTTCAGCTTGCCTGAGTATATGCAACGTATCTCCAGGGTTCCTTATGCATTGGTTCACATTCCACCGCAAATACACTCCCCATCAAAGGTCTTACCCTGGCAGATGGGTCTCCAGGTCCTGTGCCCGTTGTCCCATCACACAGCCCACTTGGCACCTTTGGTGAGGTTTGTCCTTTTTCCACATGACCCGATTCTGATGGAGGTACTTGCTTACGCTGTTCTGCTAAGCACGTCTTAACCCTCCTCAGACAGAGCACATGGTGGTCACAGCCCCTGCAGACGTGAGTCCTGCTGAGTTCCTGCTTCCCCTCAGTAACATGTCCACTTTCTGAGTAAGAGACATCCCTTTTCTTTGCTTTTCTTCATCGCTCAAGCCAGCAGCTGGCTTCTCAGGGAACCAACCATCTTTCGCTAAGAAACAGACATCACTGCCCCAGGATGTTAGAACTAAAGTGGCATCAGGTAGCAAGTAGCACAGTGACATAGAGATGACTGTCCACACGCAGGGCGTCACTCCAGCTGCAGCCTCCAGGACACACATCTGTGTCTCTGCAAATGGACAGGGCACCATATAGCGCTATGCCTCACTCCCTAAGGCTTGGAAGTCTCCACTTTTGACCAAAACCACAGAGTTAGTCTGTCGGTGCTTCCAGTTCAGGGGGGTTTGGGTCCCCTTTCAGGCTGCACATGTGTTTTGTGATCCCACTTAGTTTGTGTGTGGTTTAACAAAATCAAGCCCAACTCAGAAAAGTCAAGTAATTTACCAGAAAAATTCAGATTTTGGACTTCCCTAGAGAAATAGACGTGGAAAGACCAGGTGCACATTCCTTCCTGTTCATCAAAGCTGAGCAGTGACATCCCCCGGAGAAGAGGATCTGTCCTGCGGTCCAGCCCTAGAACCACCCTCCCCAGGACTGCTCACTGCTGGCCTCCCTCATGGGCAGTGCTGCCTGGGTCTGGGTCCAGGCTTCTGAGTTTGCATCTCTGGACTATTAACATAACACACGTCAGAGGGTAAAAAGCGCACACACGTGCACACTCCAGTCATAAGAGGGTTCGGGAAGGAGCCTGCTCCTCCTGGACTGGAGTTTGAAATATCTCACGGTCTCAGTCCCTGAGGTTCTGGTAAACCAGATACCTGGGGTCTCAGGTCATGGAGTCCCTGGTTAGATGGTGAGCTTCTAGAGGCAAGGGCAATAATTCATAAGCATTTTTAATGAACTGAATGGTATGATGAGAGAAACTTGCCTACACATTATAAACCCTTGAGGAGCCTTGTAAAAAGTCCCAGTGCCAGATCTTTCCCCAGACTGGTTAAATCAGGACTTCCGGGTTCAGGGTCCCGGCTGGTAGTGTTTTAAAACTCCCCAGGTGGTTCTAATGTGCAGCCAGGGTTAAGCCCCATGCCTGAGGTGCTTAACTGGTCAACTCAGTGGAGACATGTTGGCAAGGTTAGTGAGAATGTACAGCTTAGACCAGAGAAAGTACCGCCATCCACCCAGGGTTCTCAGGGAAGGGAGGACTCAGAACAGCATGTATCATCTGTGAGATTAAATCCAAAGGCAGGGAGTTCATCCCATTCCTCTTCCCTCAGTGACACGACACTGAGCTGATTACTCTTCACAACTGGGGGTGAAGGATTGGCCACCTCTGACTTGATGCTGCCCCTTTTTTGTTCAACTGACTCCTGTCTCAGCCACCCCAACCTGGGGGCTGGTGGTGTATGGAGAATTTCCCAGAAAGCACTGTCATGATCAGTGAGAATAATCTTGGGATATTTAGTGCAGAGAAGATTGAAAATGGTTCAGTCTTAAGTGGACTGATTGGGACAGAAGAATTTGAGAGAGTAAGACCTGACTAAAAGAATAGTTTGGTTCCTTCAGGAAGATGGCACTTTGGTCATTAATAGCTATGATCCCTGCAATTCTCTGATGGGTTTTGGGACAGTGTCCTCACCCACCTTGTCTCCCAACAATATGGTGTTTTTCCTGTGAGCAGCACTGGCATTGATGGACTGTCAGCCGATTCAGCCCAGTGGGAGGATCAGGGAGGTTATTTCCCATCTCCCTAGCAACAAGGACACCTTGCAACTATTCCTTTACCTGGGGCTTTCTCCACACAGTGAAGATAATGATTTGCTGCACTTAAAGGCTTGGCATTGAAAGGAAATGGGTGCCTTTCAGTCATCAGCTTGAGTCAACTTGACAGTTCTATACCAGGCTTGTGCCAAGCCCGAGGAGTGTCTTGATCCTACTGCCCAGAGTACCCTCTACCCCAGCAGAGGACTGACTTGCAGACAGTTGAGTGCAGAGCCCAGTATCTGTAGACAGTGTGAGCAGCAAGGCCCAGAGGAGGCCCAGCAGAAACAGCATGGAGGTGCAAAAGGGCCTCAGGTGGGACAGGAATTTTGACAATCCCCAGAGGGTGAAGGACAAGCTACAGGGCACAAAGGTAAAGAGGTGAAGCATGGGCACCTTGCAAACCATTCTCAAGAAAAGGTGTTGGTATATTTCTGAGTTCCAGAGGAGACCATCAGCACAATCACCAGGGAGGCCAAAGAGGGTTTAAATAAAGAGACTATATACAGGTGTGAGAATGAGCTCTGGTTAGGAACAGTGACAAGGGTAAGTTGTTACCACCTCTAGTTTTAAAGGGCTTCGAGAAAAAAGCACAAACTAGACCAAAGGAAAGCTGTAACTGTAGGAGAGAAACCTCAATCAGGTGTTGGTTATGGCCTTAGCTGGAGGAAGACAACTTGTGCCATCCACAGTCTGACAAGATGGAACCAAGACGTACATGATCTGTCTCTTGTCCTGCCGCCCATCTCCCTTCAGAGCCTCCCATTGGCTGAAACGAGGAGTACAGCAGGCCAGGAACTGGACTGGCATTATCCAAAGAGGTCATGCAGAGCCGGATACAAAAGAAAGATCTGTGGCTGTTAGGGCAAATCTCCCAGACCAGGCAGGTGCATGGTTGATTCGGGCAAAGGAAAAGAATCTGAGGCCTTGGTAGATTTGACAGGCTTTAATGCTGAAGCAGGGAACCAGGTATATAGGTAGACCAGCAGGCCAGGGTGAGGTGGGGGTGGGGATGTTGGGGGTGAGGAGAAATGGCAGTAAATCAGGCAAGCAAGGAGACAGGAAGCCTGAGAGGCGGGTAGCAATGGAGCCCCCCAGCCCCAGCGACCTCCACTCTCTCTGACTTCCCTCCTTGCTCTCTGATCTCTCCTGTAATGCTCTCCCAAGAACCCATATGGTAGGTATGCAGGCCCGGCACTTTCTAGCTCATGCCCCATGCTTGTGTTCCCAAGCGCTTTCTGCACTAATGGGATATCACACCTGGGATGAAAACAAGGTCACAGGTGGCAAACCTAGGGGCTAGCAGCAGGAAGGTGAAAAAGAGCCTAAGCTACTTCATTCTCCCTACAGTGGCTATCGAGAATATTCAATGTAGATCACTACCATTTTTTTCTTCAAACAAAACTGTGAAGATCCAAAACTTTAGTGTATAAGTAGCCGAAAGCTAATTTATTCCAAATGTGTGTGGCTAGAGTTGCTTTTGTGCGCCATTCCCGTACCTCTCCTACCTGAACATCAGATGCGAAACACCTGAAAGCTTTCAAGGAGCCTCAGGCTACCATCAAATTATATTCTTCCCAAAGTTTAACCCATCGCATAGCAGAAAGCAGCAGCTTCAGGTCTGAAACTAGATTTTTATAAAGGCTGTT